AAAGTTTAAAACCAAAACTGGAAAAGATCAAACTAATTCAAGTAACTTAACAATGCACATAGGAACACAGAAATATCTAGCAATTAATAAAGTAAAATTACCAGAAATGAAAAGGAGCAAGAAAATACAACCCATAATAGAAGAAAAGCAACAATCAAAACCAACTCAGAACGGCAAAGATCATAGAATTAGTAGACAAGGATATAAAAAGTTATAACTGCATTCCATGTTTAAGGAACTAGAGGAAAGGTTGAACATGTTAAGCAGAGACATTGAAGACTTTTTTAAAAGACCTAAAACAAAATTATAGAGATTAAAATGACAATATTTGAGATGAAAAATACACTGGACGGGACTAAAGGCACATTAGAAGAAGAAAAAATTAATAAACTTGAAAATACAGCAATAGAAACAAAATAAAACAGGGAAAAAGATTGAAAAACATGAACAGCATCAGTGAGCAGTGTAACAATTTCAACTAGACTAATAAATGTGTAACTAGAGTCCCTAAGGGAGAAGGCAAAAAATTTCCAAATTTGATAAAAACTATAAACTCACAGATCCAAGAATTTCCAGGAGCCCAGGCACGAGAAACATATAGACAACACAGAAGATACATCATAATCAAATTACTTGAAATAAGTGGTAAAGAAAAAAACTTTAAAACAACCAGAGGAAAAGACACATACAGAGAAACAAAGATAACAGCAGACTTCTTGTTGGAAACAATGAAACCTAGAAAATAGGAAAGCAACATCTACGTCCAACTTGAATTCTATACCCAGCAAAAACATATTTCAAAAAATAAAGGCTAAAGACTCTCAGACATATAAAAGCTGAAAGAATTCATCACCCTCTGATCCACAATAAAGAAATATTAACTGAAGTAATTTAGGAAGAATGAAAACCATACCACATGGAAATATGGATTTATATGAAGGTTTGAAGAGCACAGAAAATAATTATGTGGGTAATTATAAGACTTTTCTTATTATTTAAATCACTTTAAAAGATAATAATTTAAGCAAAAATAACTATATATTGTTGGGTTTTAACACAGGCTCAGTAAATGTATGCCAACAATAGTACAAAGCTCAGGAGGACAGAAATGGTGGTTTGCTGTTTTAAGATTCTACTACATGTGAAGTGGTATAATGTCACTTAAAGACATACTGTGTTAAGGATGCATACTACAAACTAAAGCAAATGCTACACACACACAGTAGCTATAGCTAATAAACCACCAAAGGAGATAAAGTAGAGTCATGAAAAAATACTCAATCCAAAATAAGGCAGAAAGAGAGGAAAACGAGAACGAAGAACAAACAGGACAAATAGAAAAGAGCAAGTTGGTAGACCTAAACCCAACAACACACATAAAACTAAAAGGCAAAGATTGTCAGATTGCATTAAAAAAGCAAGATCTAATTACATACTGCCCACAAGCAACATTTGAGACATAAAAAATTAAAAGTACAAGGATGGGAAAAGATCTACTGTGCTAACATTAACACGGAGAGAATCTCTATTTGTGCTCATTCATTTAGTTCCTATAGGACTAAAAGCAAAACAACAGGAAAATAATTTGTAGACCACAGAATACTATATAAATCAAGAATACAGGGAATAAATCAAGAAAAAATGAAAATAATTAATAGCTACACATTCACTAGCACTTTACGTAAATAATTTCATTTAATCCTCACAACAACCGTCAGGAAGTTGGGTATTAATACTCTATAGATGAGGAGACTAAATAGAATATGTAACATCCACAGATAAGTGAAGCCAGGGTCTGCTGAATCCAAGTGACTCTGCAAGCAAGCAAACCATGTCGTTCTCATGTGTGCAGTCATTGAGGGCACACAAAATACTTGTTTCTAAAGTAATCTGAAATGTATAAAGTAAAAAGAAATAGCAAGATCTTTTAAAATTAAACTCCCCTACTAATGAGATACTCTAAATATCATATAGGCCTGTTCTTGCTATTCATTCTCAAAACAGTACATGCCCATGTTACCTTTAGCTAGGAGCAAACCAAATAGCTTTTAAAAATACTGGATTTTTTTTTAGGTTTAAAAAACTCTATAATGAGAAAAACTTTAAGTCACTGATGGGGGGGGGACCTCCTCCAAATCTACAATTAATTTTTACTTCATCTAATTACACTGATTGCTGTTAACAGTGTCTGAACAAACTAGGCCTATGGGATTTTGGCCTCAAAGGATATTTAGGGTGGTTTCAAGTCTTGATAATTAAATCTATGCCTGAGTCTTTTAATTAGATATTTCTCTCCAGAATTTTAACATTTAAAATCAAACTAAAACCCAGAAAGGAGTGAATGCAAGAAAATCTCTTAGTAGTAGATATTCTTGATTTTTAAAAACAAATTTCTTTGAAAATTCTCCTCCCCCTTCCAGTTTCAGTGAAATACCACACACTAAAAAACTATAATGGATGAAAATTAAAATTCTTGATAGTTTAGTAATTCCTGGTGTCTTAAAGAGGAACAATTAACATTACTGGGAGGGCCGAGCCCATGGCGCACTCGGGAGAGTGCAGCGCTGGGAACGCAGCAGAGCTCCCGCCCCGGGTTCCGATCCTATATAGGTATGGCCGGTGCGCTCACTGGCTGAGCGAGGTGCGGCTGGTCTCAAAAAGGACAAAAAAAAAAAAAAAAAAAAAAAAAAACTGGGAAAATTAAAAAAGAGGAAATCATCTGGGTTAAAGCATTTATAGAAAACAAAGTACTATTTATCAGTGGGACTACCAAACACCAGGTAATCTGCTAGGTGTTTTTAATCACCCTGTAACACAGGTATTACATCGAAGTAATCCCAAGTAACAAAGTAAAATTACTTTACTTGGCTGACACTCAACCAACTAAAGTGGTGGTTTGGTTGGTTTTACTTTATTATTATACAGATTTAAGTTAAGTTACATTAAGACCTTAAGGGGTTTAGCTGGATATCAACCTCTTAAAAAACAATGATAAAACCTTTTAAGAATTACAATTGTTTCTACCTATTTGTTCACAAATATGCAATCTAAGCCTATAACTCTCAGCTATTACTAATCATAATGAATTCTTCTGATGATAATATCTGAAAATGTAGCTTGTTAATCAAGTACTGGGTGTTTAACTTTAAAATATTTTACTTGCACCAAGTAAATATTTTGTGGGAATCAGAATTTTGAAACTTAGAAAGGAGTTAAAAACCTAGGCTGCCTAAATGCCGAAGAGCTTCTTCATTCCAGGATGTGTAAGACTTAAATATTGCTATCTGCCTACCTACTTAAAACAGAACATGCTGCCAAATGGCCATACCATTTTAACCATTTTGATGGTTGAAGCTACATATCAACTATTGTGGTAAAGTGTGAATAAATGAAATCCCAGTAAAATTTTCTTTTAAGCATTCCTTTCCATCTCATTCCAAGTCATTCATAGTAGAGCTGCAAATAAGAAATCGAGTTTTTGACTCAACGCAGTATATTACAGTAAAGCACAATGCTAGATCTAGCAAACCTGAGTATAAGTTACAATGCAGTCATTTCCAGTTTCTCTAGCATATAGCACTTCAAGATTCCTGAGAGGAACAGTTTTCAATTTTATGAACTGTAAAACTTCACAGGGTAGTTTGTCTCTTGTCAGCAGGAGTCAATTTAATTCATCTACTCTAAAAATTTTTATGAATTCATGGATGAATGAAAAACCTTAAGAAAATAAGTAGCAAAAGCTGGAAATAACCTATCCAGTTGCACTTTCAAAAATGCCTCATAAAAAAAAACCAAGCTTGACTTCAACGGAATATCTAGAAATAGTGAACTATGAGGTATCAAATTATTAGGAAAAATACCTAAATTACAAATGATCCATATTTATACGTTGGCCATCCTAAACCTTTCCCCTTTCAGTGCTGAAGCTCCAGGAACAGTTAAAAACAAAACAAACTTGGAGCTTTCAGAAAACGAGTTCAAAAGCACAAGGAAAAAGGCAATTAAGGATAAGAACTAGAGAGCTCAAAGAGGGGGAGGAAAGATGGCAAAGAACACTCATATAACGATCCCAGAGGTACCACCCTAACGACTAAGCATTTTTTCCTATCCTAATTTTTTTGTTTCACTTTAATTCCTAAAATTCCATGAATTAACCTTAGGAATTAGCACATACCCTTTGTGGGAGACTCTAAATAATTTTCAGAAGAGAAAGGGGGTTAGTAATCATTCACTTTAGTAAGAAATAATGTGGATATTTTTCTTTCCTCCTACTCTGAGATCAGCCACTCTGAGAAAATGAGTTTCTCATAGAAAGGAAATATTAATCTGGGAACCTGAAGCACTTGTTGAGGAAAGAACAGGAGGCTTTGGTAGTACAGTGGCACTGGAAGAATGGAAATGGGAGGGAAAAATTTAAGAATAGCAAACATCTTAATCTGTATAGCAACAATACTAGGCGCAGGAATGCCCTGGTTTTGGTTTTACATCAAATGCTCCCTTAAAAAACACTATCACATATACAGGTTGAATATCCCTAACCTGAAATCCAAAATCCAAAATGTTCCCAAAATCCCAAACACTTCTGGTCCCAAGCATTTTGCATAAGGGATTCTCAATTTTGCAAAAGAGATTCTCAACCCATAATTTAGTCCAAGTACTCGGAAAAGACATTCACTGTATATTGATTGCATCAGAGACCTAAACATAATTTATGCAGTGATACTATGGTAAAATTTGTTTCAGCTTTCTTAAATTCCTAGTCAACTTTAGGAACACAGCTTTACTATACTGGCAAATGTTGCCCCTAGATAAATAACCCAACCTGGTTTCACTATTTGTCATAGAAGAAAATGCCGTGCATTTGATGTTTACGTTTAAGTATTAAACCCAAATCTCTGTGTAATACACTTATGAGATGGGGACACTTTTAACAAGAAACAATCCATATCTGAATTATCAATTATGAATTGTACAACGAAAAATATTTCTACCAGGCAGACTGAATATCAAGACTTTTTTCTTTTACTAAATTAACATCTATCATGTAGTTTTTATGTGAAAACAAGGTACAGTAAGAAAAATACCAATAGGCAAAAATTTTATGTTAACCAACCGAGGTCTGGAAATTTCTGCAGAGCTTTCTTCCTGAAGTGCTTTTCAATCACATCCTTCTTTTTCTCTAGTAAGGATTAACACAAATATAATTGTTTAATAATAACCTTATTTCTCACAGGCTGAGATTTAAATATTTACTTCATTTGATAAGAAAATACTAGACAATTTCAAGACTCCTCAGTATTTGGCTTTAAAAATTAAAACCCGTCATTGAAATTCCTATTTTTACATCTGCAACTCACCAAACAGCCCTTGGAAAATGTGATTTTCTGAGCTCACTTTCCAGTTAGACTTGATTGTAAATGAAGCATGTATGTGCTTTTTCATAAACAACCTGTCACGATGGACAGACTGGATGCTTTCTCATGAATGCCTAACTTATCACCACCAACATCACCCAATTAAACAGAACACAATACTTACAGTTTAATAAAATTCTAACAGTAAATATTTTCTATGGGTTTTGGTTTCCAGTACCTGCCTATCTAGTTAATAATATTACACGTTCAACAATTACAGAAAAAACTTTAAAAGTTAAGAAAAGTACTAAATTTGAGGTATATAAAGAATATTCATTTAAGAATATAAAGTAGTCAAGATTTCCTTTTACTCAAAAAAAAAAAAAAATCACTTCAGAGTAGACCTCCATGTACAAAAGACAAAATCAATCACATTCGTCACTGGACACAAAGAACATTCCAAAGGTTTTTTAAAAGGGTAATTAATCTCAAGAAGGAAAATTAATCTTAACTTTTATATTTCATTATCAAGCCCATAGTTAACAAGATAATTATGCTATTGATACAAAACATACAGTATTTACACTTAACTGTACAAAATAATTTAATGTTTACAAAAATATTAGAATGTTTAGTTGACTGACACAGTCTTAAGTAATCTCTTCTAGAGAAATATATGGTAAGACCACTGATTTCCATTTCATTTCTTTTTTAATAAGTCAAAGAAAGGATGCTGCAGTGCTTCATCCAAAGTAATTCTTTTAGTTGGATCATATTCTAACATTCTTCGAACCAGGTCAAACAGTTTCTCGTGTTCTTCATCATGACAAAGCATAAATTCCTGGGGGGAAAAATGTTTTTGTTTAAAAAAGATATTAACAACAGTGAAACAATTTTTTTTAATCTTTAATTAGTTTTTTCTTTTACCTTTAATGGTTTGCAGCGTCTCCTAACATATCTACCAGCAGAACTATGTTCATCCCAGTCTAGCTGGTTATGGTGAAAATACTTGCGTTTTCTACAGGAAAAAGAAGTCTGGATTAGTAAAATAAGGACAGATCCACATCTTTACCCTGCTCCCAGTGGGGGTAGAGGAACAGAAAGAAGTATAAGCATCTCAAATGTGTACACATATACACATGCACACAATTTTTTAAAATCTCAGCAATAATTATATATCAGACACCTTTTATCTATCTTTACCTTCCAACCTATGAGGTCTTAATACCCCAACTAAGCTGCTCCCAAATACCATACATGGAACAAATCCAGCTCTAAAAAATAAAGACTCCTGGATCCATTCCTATAAATTCTGATATCACTAGATCTGGAATGGGGCAAGAAATATTTAAATAACTCTCTAGGTGACTTCTGTGGTGAAGCTGTGTTTGGAAATAGTCACTTGTCCAAGGACATACTGCTGGTTAGTAACAGTATGAAATTCAAACTTAGATTGATACAACTCCAAAAATCAAGCTTTCTTATATTCTATGTATTATTTTTACATCAACTTAAGAAACATTTCTGTAAAGGTCAACCTGAGTGTAAAAAGTACCATTTTGTTTGCTAGATCACAAGGCAAATACTGAACTAATTTTTAAAAACATGACCAAAAATAAAGGGGTAAGAATCAGTTACAAGTTATTACTAGTAAAGGAAAAAAATTGCAATATCTGCAGTCCTTGTAACGAGTATTACAACAATGTTGGGTTTTCTGTAGTTTGAATATAGGTCATTGGATGTATCCAGCAAAGGGCTTTTTTTTTTTTTTTTCCTTTTTGTGTTTTTTCGTGACCGGCAATGGATCGCAACCCTCAGTGTCATGCCCGTACCGGACCGGGACCGGCAATGGGATCTCAACCCTCGGTGTTGCGCCCGCACCTCGCTCAGCCAGTGAGCGGCCGGTCTGTATGTGGGATCCGAACCCTCGGTGGGAGCGCTGCCGCGCTCCCAAGTGGCGCACTGTAGCAGTGCGCCACCGGGCCGGCCCCCAAGCAAAGGGCTTTAATCTTAAAAAACATACCTTGTTTTCTGAATCATGTGTGTTGGTATGGGTCCTAATATTCGTTCCATCATTGCCAGGTGCTCTTTGCTATCATGAGTCTAAGAAATGCAGGAAAAAGAAATTTAGCACTATTTACCTACATGCACATTACAAAAGAACACAAAGAAATGGTGCTGATATAAAGGACTAAACTAGACAGCAACACAATTTACATTACACAATACTATAACTTCAAATATGGAACAATACTGAATGGTAAGGTTCTGTATAATGCTTGACACGTAACTTGTTTATTGCAAAACCGAACAATTTTCTTCCTTATTTTATTTCCTGCACTACTTAACTGAAGAATATTTAAATGGGGAACATTACCAGAAAAACTGTCTCCTCCTCATTTAATCAGCTACTTAACCAAAATTAACCTCCATTACCCAACAAATAGCCCATTTATTAACACTTACTAACACCAGGCAATAAAAATAGTCTCAATAATTCTCACAACAATCCTGAGCTAGGTATGTTTAAACATGGGCTTCAAAGAGGTTACAATACTAGCTCAAAGTCATATAGCTCATAAATTCAGAAAATTGAGCTATAAACCCAAGTCAAAGCTCATACTCTCCACCTATACAGTAATAGAGCTTTGGCTAAAGTAGAATAGACACAACTGTCAAACTTACAGTTAAAATGATATGCTTCTAGAACAGAGGCTGGCAAACTTTTTATGTTTGGGGCCAGAGAGTAGATACTTTTTCAGGCTTGGCTGGTCACACGTTTCTTTTTTTTTTAAAGACAGGCATCAGGCAGGATTTCACCATAGACCACAGCCTGCCAACCCTTGTTCTAGAGAGCAGAGGCTGTGTTTAATGCTTTTTTTGTGCCTAGCATATTGCCTTCAAAAACATTATTAATTCTTGACAGGAATAAATACTAGCTCCACATTTTAAAAATGTTCCTTAGTTTAAGAGTATTTTGCAGGGTGGAATTAAAATATAAACCATATCTCAAAAAATCTGCACTTCATTTAAGACCTCAAAGTGACTTACAATCACAAAGTTATTGGAAATACCCATCTTATGTAAGTCAGAATAAAGAAAGTATGCTCCCTGCCTAACTTTTTCTTGACCTTACAGCTCACAACCACAAAACCAGACACCACCTCCCAGAACTGACAACCATGGTTCTATACATCAAACTTGTCTATAAACTCAGATACTTTTCAAAAGGATCACTACAGACTAGACCAAAGCAGAAGTCTGGTGAAGTGCTTTACAAGCAGTGAACTCAAAACTTGTGCGATGGCCACCTATGTGACTCAACTCATCATAGCTTCATCTCCCCCTGCACTGCTGTCACTGCAACTCAACCTCAACAGTACTGAGCCAGGATCTCCATAACCCCTCCCCGCAAAACAAAGCAAAACAACACCTAGACCATATCACAACCCTGCTTAAAGTTCTTCAATGGTTGTATCACCCAAAGCTTTCATCACTTAGATCTCAAATACAAGTAAAATTAGAAAAAAGTGGAAAGCAAAATAGGGTTTCCTACTTTTTATTTTGCCAAGTAAGGACTTTTATTTTAAAAAGCCAATTATCATTATTTTATAAAAGGGACATTTTAATACAAAAAGAGCAGGAGGGAAATCTCTAAAGGCCAGAATGGTAACCCTACAAAATCACGTTCATTTTGGACCAGTCTACATTTGGAAACCACTGACTTCTAGGAAATACAAATTACCTTTCTAAGGTGTTCAAGTCCTTTTTGAATCAGTTCTTGCCTATTGTCATCATTTTCCCATTTACACAAGACACTCTGACAACACTATTCTTCCCTGACTAGAATATGTTCCTCTACAGATATAATCTTCATCTTTATACACCCATCACACTCCAGTTTTCTGACAAATGCCTTCCTTCTAGCATTGGCTTAACCTCACTACCCTCTTCAGTGATACTTTCTCTAAGGAAATTTAATTAACCTTTCCTGGATTGCCCCTACACTTTCCACATTGTTCCATTATAGCAAACATCACACTATACTGTAACAGTTTTCCCGTCTTCTGCATAACTTCCTTAGAAATGCCTAAAGGCACCATAGATGCTGAAGTAAAATGCAACTTGTTTTTCCTGAATTCTTTTATAAGGAGTAAGGCCACAGAGAAAGTCAACGTAACCAAAACTGAATTAAAACTGGCCACACTAATATTAATGCACATTAATATTAATATTAACTTATGAAGAGTCATAACACAAAAAATGGAAACATAAGACAATATGGACCATACATGAACCACGTGTTAAAAATACCAATCACATGCAAAATGAACATTCACTATCCATAGTATTTCATTCAACTGTGGTTTTAAAGGATGACCATTTTGCATATGTAAGTTTTAATCTCAAGAATAATGATCTTTGGCAACTTCCCAATATGAAAGCCAAAATTTCAACATGCCTTTAATATTTAACATTATGAATTATTAAACAGAATTTACTAGATACGTACCTGAAAGACTGTGAACCCAAGGTAATATTCAATAAGAATGCAACCTATGCTCCAAACATCACAAGGCTGGGACCAACCTAAAGCTATTTAAAAACAAATATAAACATTTTACTATGCAACTATTTTTAATTACCAATATACTAAATCCTTCCCTATATGGATGCTCTCTTTACATAGTTTATTTCGGAGAATACAACAACAAATTCAGGGTTTACATTTTTAGTTTTATATCAAATGTTATTCAATATGCTCTCACAGTCCATATGCTTACATAAAAATATAGTATTTTAACTGGGAAGAAGGCATTTTATGTAAAATAAGAGGGGGACTATTAAACAGTTTCCCTCTGCACAAATATTCTATAGTCTCTGAACTGCTCATATGATGGGGAATACCACTGTCGAAACTATTACACTTAGTTTGTGGTTGCTCCAAGAAGTTTTACATTGTATTAGTGTAAATATAGGTTTAAATTATCTTCAGAATGTAATTACTAAGCCCTTATCAATTATCGCCAGCTTGATGATGAGTTTACTTTTTCCTTTAAAGAAATACTATTGTTTCACGTAAATTACATAAAAACTATAATGGGAATTATAAGCTGCTTCACCTATAAGCAGAAATTACAGAGACATTTAATAAATTCACAGAGATGAATCTATGTATGTACCTCAGGCTGACTATACATGATCATATATACTTTCTCCTTCAGAATTCTCAGTGTCAATATTATTCAAGAAAGAATAAAACACCTAGCCTTTTTAAGCCTAGACTTCATTGGAAAGGGGAAGAACAAACCGTAAAAATGTTTCTATCTTTTAAAGATCAAATATTTAGTGAAACAATACTGTATAAATAAGAGCCACTAAAAAAAAATTCAATTACTCTCAGTAACATCACTGAAGTTAAGGATAAGAAACAATATATTCAAGGGCCTTGACTATAACAGTCATTTCTGTTAACACCCCGCAGGGCCTATCGTTTGAACAAACAGGTAATAATGGAGCAGATGGCTTCTACTTACAGTAACACATACAAAATCTGTAAATACTACAAGCTGGATCTCAGATAAAAGTTTTCTTCTTCAACCACTCCTATCTTCCAATCTAACTTTTCCCCATGTTACTGTAACCCTCTGCAGCACATTCTCAATCATCCCATTCTTAATGAGTCAGCTTGCAATACCTCTTTGCAATTCCACATCATTCACTTTTACCATCCTTTCCCAACCTTACCTGTTTACTACTACCAAAATCCAAGACATGAGACCAACTGCCCTTCTCAACTGTAGTACCTGACTACTTCTTCCTCTCTAACTTAATTCTGCCTTCGCCCTCAGGAATACTCCACAAATATACAAAAAACCTTTCTGTTTTCCCAATCTCCCGATACTTGTTCCTCAAGGTCAGTGACTCCAATTTCAGATTTATATCAACTGTCCCTTGCCCACATTTGGAACTCTCTCTCCACAGCACCTGATCTGAACTTTTCCCACTGTCTCTAAGCCCCCAACCCCAGCTTTGACTTTCCTGATCTTTAACTCTTAAATTTTGAAGCATAAGATGCATGCTCCCTACTGAGTCCCTCCTTATTTCAAAATTCTGTACTTCAACTCATTTTCTTTTCTAGCCTTTCTCATGTCAAGGGTTATCACAGAAGCTCTCCTCTTAGATAAGCCCCTTTCTTCTCCTCTTGACTTTTATCCCTCCTATATTTAGATGTCCACCAACCAAACTCTTAGCATTCCTTTACCAGAATCATAATTTTGGGATGACAAAAAACAGGTATCCACGTGACTTCAAAATCACATTGCAATGATATACTTAGTTCATAGAGCCTGCTCTCTTGAGATCACTTAAGATTAACTAGTTCAAAAATCACCACCACCTGGAATATTTCTCACAGACTGTATCACATTTGTACCACTCAGGAAAAATATTTATAGCAATGTCCTCACATTTTTTTTAAATTAAAATAGAAAATGTTTTTACACCACTAAGAAGATCATTCTAGCCACCCTCACACCTTCCCAATAAAAGCAGTAAAGAACAAAATCTCTTCTTCAATTACAATATCAGGAAGTCTGATGTCTACTGACCCAATATGACCTCTGGAGCTCTGTAGTGTCGTGTAGATACCAAAGTACTGTGATGTTCATCATCATAAGTTGCACTTCCAAAGTCAACAACTTTGATATCTGTGTTTTTCAGTGTGCGTTCATCACGTTTCTACAGATAGTTGAGAAAACATGAAAGTCAGGCTTGCACATGAGTTATCTTTCTGATTATCAACATAAGCCCATGAGAAAGACAAAGGATTATTCCTTTTTTGGTTAGACATCAGTATATAATGAGGTTCAGAAGTAAAATTCCTCATCCAAGGATCACCAAACTAAATTAATTTTAAAGACAACACCCAAAATTAAAACAAGGTTTTAACTTACCATTTTAGAATTATATTTGACTACATAGTCAGACTTCACAAATAAAATATTTTCAGGCTTCAGATCTGTATGGGTTAATTTGTTGTGATGCAAAACTACAAGAGAACAAAAGACGTTATTAGTTTCACTTACAAATTTAATTTGTACTGGTTTGGAAGAGGGATTAGCAGTGGATACCTTGGTCAGGAGGGATTTCATCTTTACCTATAACATGTATTTTTAATGACAATATTTTAATATGTTGCTTGTATAATAAAAACTTAAATTTTCTGATGTTTAAAGATTTATCAGGTATACTTACAATTTATCGACTGGCAGATCTGATATGCCATCTGCCTGATGTGGTCAATTTGAAATGGCAAAAAGCTGTTTTCTTTAATAAAATCATAGGTACTAAGTCCCAGCAGTTCAAACACAATACAAACATGACCATGATGATCAAACCACTCTAGCATCTGGACACATCGGCTGAAACAGATCAAAATAATAATTCAGTTCACAGAATTCTGATTATTTCATGTAATATGATGGCTCATAGCTCAAATTTATACTTACAAGACACTATTAGGATCAGTACTATTTAAATGCTCTAATACTTGGATTTCTGAACGAGCTGCTTCACGGTAACGGCCTACATTTTTTACGATTTTCACTGCTACATGTATGCCATCCCTTAAAAACAAAATTAAGATGAATGTGGTAAATGCATAACAGTAGGGTGACGCCACGTATCCTCTAAAGCATAATCTTAATTACCAATTTTCCTCTATGCTATTTTTCTAAAATAATCTTTCACAGCATATTCTACTAGATTCCATATAATATTTTTCAAAACATTTTGACAAAATACATTTTATATGGAATGATAATTCCCTTAATACTTATGAATTTTAATGTTTCCAGAATTTAAAATTTACCCTAAATTTCATACAAAAGTAAAAAAAGAAAAAACGTATAAAAATATAAAACAAGAATAGAATGTTACTGCTGAAAGCAGTTGTTCATTCACCAGGCTAGACCTACTCTGTGCCAGACAGTGCATAGGTGTTAGTGATGAAAAGACAGGGCTGTCTCCATGTACCTCACAGTCTAATGGACAAGATAGACACACGAACAACTTAGACTTCTTCACAGAAGAGATGACACAGAACTGAGTCTCGAAAGATATTTATTAAGTCTGTCTGATTGGGAGGAAAATGAAACATCAAGGAAAGGAGACACCATCTATAAGTCATAAAGCCATAGCACGTTAACTGTTCAAGTATATAGAACAGCTACAGTGTAGGGCAGTGGGCTTCAGGTTGGGGCATCGGTAAGAGTAATTCCAAAACAATATAGAGCCATGAATGATTTTGAGGAAATCAATTTTCAAATCTTCAACTTTCCTTGTCCTCATTTCCAAACCTAATTTGCTTGAAAATGAGCCAGTCCTTCAATCCTCCTTCTTCACTACGGCTCTTTCATTTTACAAAAGAGAAGAAAGCCTCACCTACCCTTTATTAGAATCAAAATGTATGCCTAAGCTGTAAAAAAATCTTTAGGACAATCAAACAAATGTTTTCTAGTGGCTGAATAGCAAATCGTTTTCCTGTGTGGTGGTTTCTAATTCATTGCTTTCAAAAAGGCCCCAATGAAGTTGTGGGCTGATAAATCATTAAAAAATTTTTTTGATTATAATCTCCATATGATGTTTGGCATATATCTTAAGACTTAAAAGAATTGTTATAAAATTACTGTGACAAAACTACTACTCCCATATATTTAATTATATGACCAAAAAGTTTTCTTAATGCTTATATCTATAAAAACAAAAAAATGGAAACAGACGATGCTAACCAGTGAGATATTTATCTACGGATACATATACTCATTTTTTAGAAGCCCCAACCATCCCAATAAAAGATAAATAAAATTTGCCAATAAAATTTGTTTTTATTAGGTGTAATAAGCATAAAAATTTGTAATATATTTTTACTTTGAGCAATTGAATACTATTCATTAGAATATACCTCAATTAAATACTCAGAATCTCAGGAAATTTTTAAAGGACATTAATGGGACAACTGGTGAAATCTGAAGAAGGTCTGTAGATTAGCTGACAAAATTTGAAAATATAACATATGTATATATAAAGAATGATAAAGCAAATACTGAAAAATGTGAACATCTGGGGAATGCTGATGAAGGATATATGGGAACTGAACTATTTTAGCAACTTTTCTGTAAGTCTAAAAATATTTCAAAACATTTAAAAATTTATGTTTACATTTTTGTTGCAGAGAAGTAGCGGTGATAATAGAAGATAATTTAGAAAGTGGAATGAAAATAATTTTAAGGATAAAACATTTCTAAGTATTGAAGCAAGAGTTTGTTTATGGATGATGGTGGGTATCACGTTATGATTCCCTCAAATACATCTGAACAGAGGTAAGTTTTATTTTTTAAATATTAATGTTTACAATAAGCTGGAAATCTCATCCTTCCCAACTATTTTTATTCTTTTTTTTTTAGCAGCTGGCCAGTGAGGGGATCCAAACCAGTTACCTTCGTGTTATAAGGCTGTGTTCTATCTAACCAACTGAGCTAACTGGCAAGCCCCCAATTATTTTTATAATTTACTATGAAAACTTTTAGACGTCACTTTTGAAATGTGCAGTTTCACTAAATTATTTTAAGAGGTTCACTTATAAAAATGTTTGCAGGGCCGAGCCCGTGGTGCACTCGGGGAGAGTGTGGCGCTGGGAGCGCAGCAGGGCTCCCGCCACGGGTTCGGATCCTATATAGGGATGGCCGGTGCGCTCACTGGCTGAGCGCAGTGCGGCCGGTCTCAAAAAGGAAAAAAAAAAAAAAATGTTTGCAAACCACAGTAAAATGTGGAGGACAGGGTCAAATCACAAAGGGGTAAGTATAACTTGCTAAAGAATCTGGACTTTATTCTGTAGGCCTTAAGTAATATAATTTCTCTATAGTTTAGGAAGCTAATCCTAACATACAAGATTACATATGCTTTATTATCTCTGCAATCCAAAAGAAATGAATCTCATATAGAGGGTCAACGGCCTAAGTTTGGGGAAACTTCTTCACTTGAACACCCACTTAATTTCAATAAACTCCATCTGACAGAATCTGTCAGCATTCTTGATCAAAATCTACACTCATGGTAAATAAATCATACACTGTTCAAGAACTTTTCATAAATATTTACACTTCCCTGTAAAACATGTGGCTACCGTTTAAAATATATTTCAGCTAAATTATAGATCCTTCCCCACCAAAAAGATCAGAATGTTCAAAAAAGAAAAAAAAAAAACAAACTTACATGCCATGATCAATGCATTCTACAACTTTGCCAAAGGCCCCTTCACCCAAGGTGTCCACGATTTCATCTAAAGTGAGGGGGGGAAAGATATATAAGTACCTTGGTACAAATTATCTAGTTATTCAAACATGAATGCTTAAGTGTGGAATATTCAAATGATCACTATCAAAGAATAACTAAGGTTTCAGCACTCAAATTATTTTATTTTCAGCTGCTACAAAAACAATTAGATAGAGCTATCTTTCTTGCTCTAATCTCAAATTCCACTGATTATTTTGGAACTTTAGAGTAGAAATATTTAAATTCTACAGAAAAGAAGAATACAAAAGAACAAACCAACCCACAAAAAACAAAACAAAAAAGCAATGAAGAGTTCTTTAGCCCCCCGCTGACAAGCTATTCTTTAAAAGATTACTCTGTCTGCAAAGTTTAAAAAGTGTTGAAAAATATTCTATACATCTTGCTCTTAGAACGTCTCCACTTTGACAGATCAGGTGACCCTCCTCATCATCCTCTATACTCCTGGATCTTTTCCTTCGGTGGCTCTTCTGGAACGGCAAGTGGGCAGCACCAAGATCGTCCAGCCAATCAATATATCAGAGTGAATTCAGGGCAGAATACGCAATTCATTCAGCGGGGAGATATTCAGGCATTCAGATAAGCACCAGGCCACGAACAGTTGGCAGGAGCAATTTCAAATTCAGTCCCCAGAAATTCACAGGGCACAGTTTATGTTACAGAAGAAAAACATGGCAAGGAACAGATTTTCAGATAAGATACTTAAAGTGGCAATAGAAAAAAAAAACAACACAATTGTCTCTTTAAAATACTGATTTAATTGAAATCTGAAATTTAAAGAATGCAATGTCATGATTTACTAATCTCTCGCTATAAATAGTATATGCTGTGAGTTGAGATGTCTAGTTTGTCAGAAAAATGTTTTAAAATGTCATAATTATTTGAAATTATTTAACAATATTTTAAAATATATATAATTAAAATAAAAGGGGGAAAATAAAGGCTAGTTAATAATTTCAGTGTTCAATCTAATAAAAGCTATTTCTACTGAAGAAAGCTTGGGGAGGAAAATAATAATTCAGTGTTTACTGATCAAACAGGTGAAGATGTCTGAGTGTTAAAAAAAAAAAAAAATGGAGGCTTTTTGGATAATACATTTCCCATTCAGCACCCATGTTCACAATTTCAACAGAATTAGTTGCAGATGATGCACTGTGCTATGGAACTATGCTATATGGGTTAACAACATTTAAGTATCCACCAGTGCAACTTTCCATATTTGTTTCCAAGTATCAGAAAAGGGTTTTTTTTCCAAGTAAAAATATGTTTAAGATGAAAGAAAAGCGGGTGCTTCATTTTTATAAAAATATATTATACATACAAAAATAAAATATTTTTATTATTAAAATCAACAAACTCATGATCTGGTCTGCAGATATGAGTAAATGTGGGCAAGTGAGGGCTAGCTAATAAATACACAGATCAGCTATGAGAATTTGGAAGTTTCCTTTAAGGGTTCAAGTAATATAAGTATGATTATAATATATCCAAATAATATTATATATATAAAGAAACTTTTAGAAACTTATTGGCTTTTAAGAGCTTTCACGCATAATTAAGAATGCACTTAAAATAAAAATATCAATCATACCGAATGTGACTGATGACTTGAACAGTGTCTATTACGCTTCCTTTTAGGACTGCTTCTCCTGCTTCGGACTGAAGATTTACTGCAGTGGATTCCATAACTGCTTTCAATGTCTCTGTGATAATGTCTAGGAACATATCCTTCACAGTAGTCATTCCTGTATTCATCAATGTATCTCCGGTCCCGATAATCTCTCTCATTCAAGGACCTTGCTTCTAAATAATGACTGCAAACAGATTAAAGGACTTGAAATTATTCTCTTCATTCTGGGATAACGTGGTTCAAACAAACATTCTCTCAAGAATTCTTGGTTTACACAGCTAACTCAATAAAAGAAAAAAATCCAAATTGATGAATTAGGATTTATACTTTTCTCTCAAAGCTTAAGAAATAAGCAAATGGGTCAATATTTCTCCAATATATAGATTGCTGTTAAGCACGTCACACCAAGGAACAAAGCTTGAGTCAAATCATTAATTTATTACGTTTAGTGTTTACTTGATTGTTTTTTTTACCTTGTGGACAAAGTTAAACCCCAAAATTCATAAAATTGCTCTTCTGAAACTGTTTTTATATGCATTTGTAAATAAGCTTTCTTTCCTCTCACACACAGAGGCAAGCAAAACAGGATTCCTCTCTTTTAATGTAAGTGCATTTTAGATATCACTGGCACACAGAAAATTCTTTTGTAAAAGGTGTTTTACAACCATAAGGAGACTTAAATATAAAAAATGTATCCCAGCCCTTCCATTTTACTGACAACTAAATTAAGATTTCTAGAAGGAAAAAACTTGCCATGGTTATAGAACCCATTAGTGACAAAAACTGAGATACATTCTAACGGTTATTATACAGGCCAATTTTACTACACACAGCACCTATCCTGTCTTCTCTCCTCTTTGCTTTTTTAGCCTTCTGTTATTCCTATTTGAGAAATAGACAACATAGCTTTTTTATTGCCTTGTGTGCCAAAGATATCTAAAATATATCCCTCTTGAGTAAGAAAGCGATCCTTAATTGCTTGCTAGGATTACAAAAGTCCTACCACTCTACTTCCCTTTGCATTTCTAATTTCCTGTCATTCCTGCTTGAGAAATACAATAGAAAACAGCACCATCTAATGCCATAGTGCTTGAATCTACAGATCCTTTTGAAAATCTGATGAAAGCTATGGACCCTTTTCCCCGAGAAACGCATAAATGCATAAACAAAACTTGGCAAGGAATTTCATAGAGATCATGGACCTTAGGAAGTCAATGGATCCCCTTAAGTAGTCTTGATCTGATGAAAAGGAAAGGACATAAATTCAATTGGCCCAGTTTCCCGTCCCCCTCTCTACCTGGGATGAGTGTCCTCTTCAACAGAGTGCGAAGCTTCAAGAGGGATGCACATGGAGCACTGAGGGAGAGAGGGGACACCTGCCCAGTCAGACAAATTGGCTAAAATAATCCTGACAAGCAATGGAGTGACAGATGTTGACTAGATTGCTCTTACCAACCCCTTTTCTTTCCCCAGAATATGCTGCAATTCTTTTTTCCCCGGGGCCAATTTAGACAGAAATAGAAACATCTCTAAAACTACTACTGGACAGGGCTAGCATCAAATCCAGGCTGGGGTGATGCAGGAACCACCTCTTCCTTCCTAGGGTCAGTCTTAAGTTTTATCCATCGGAAAAACAACTCAGGATATTAGGGTAAGACTGTGGGTCTAGGTCAGGGATCTAATCAGTTGGCGCAGGGAGAGATCTACAATACAACAAGCTAGAAATTACCATACTCTTATGGATATCCTGTTTAATTCTGTAAGGCATCCTTCCCATAAAAGTCCAAAATCTTTCTATCAGAAAACACTAACACTAATAATCTTTAGCTGAAATACTACATGAAATTAGAGCTACTGATAATCCATAAACGATCTATAGAATAAAAAACATGAAGTTAATACCATGAGGGTAACTAAAAAGATGGGAATCTCTTCAATCTATAATGACCAATGACCAAGGCTCAGAGATTATATAAACAAAGTCTATAGAATTATACAGGCTATGCATAGGGTAGACAGGACGAACAAATTAATTTTTTAAAATATTCACTGAATTTCCAGTGAATATTTCATTGTAGCCTTTCAAAATAGCCAAGACTGATGAGGGTATGGGCATTTGTTTTTATTTCCACACAGGTCCTGTGGGAGATAAAAAAAAAACTATGTAAGACCAAGTCCCTGCCAACAGATATGAGCAATTTGAGATTATTCACATAAAAATGAAACAAAACCCAACAATGCAGGAAATGCTGAAAGGTTAAATACGAGTGCTTAGAGTCAGAAAAGGACTCACGAAAAAGATAGAAACACAGCTGCAACTTAAAGAGAAGCCAGGATATTGACAAAGTAGAAAGAAGAAATTCCAGGGGAGAAAAATGGCATAATACCATCTTACATTTATACAGCTCTTTTAGCCACAATGGCTTAAAGATGGATTTGTCCATGCATTACTAAGGGAACAGTAAGTAGACAATTCCAGTAAGAACAATTTTCACATAGGGGAGTACGGACAAATAAATAAGCTGCAAATATATCACTGAAAGCCTTGCATGCCAGGCTAAGGAGCGTTTCTCAAAGGAGAGTCTATCAATGATATCAAATATGAAGTTCTCATTAAAAATGAGATCCCTGGCCCCCAGGTTATATTCACTGAATCTGTATCTGGTAATCTGCATTTTAAACATATCTCCAAGGTGATTCTTATTCACACTAAAGTTTGAGAATCACTGGTTTAAGACCTGATATTTTATGTTATAGGATTCTGACCACAATATATAAAGGTGGTGTTTACAGCCACATGTTTTTCTAATACAGTATGCAGAATGGATTAATTAAGTCTGTAGGAAGGGGTACCAATTCACAGGGTACCGTCAAAAAACAAACTAGGAAGAAAACTTTGCAATATATATCACAAAGGATTAAAATAATATATAATAAAAAGTTCTTCTAAATCAGTAAGAAAAATATACTTTAACAGAATCAATAGGCTAAGAATACAAAAAAATTTCAAGTGGACTATAAAATACATGACAGCACTAGAATTTAAAATTTAAATTAAAACAAAACAGTATTCTTGGCCTTTCAAAACAGCCAAGACTGGTGACAGCATGGCAGAGCATATTACAGGAGTATAATTTGATACAAACTTTCTAGAAAAAGAAATGTGAATATGTAGCAAGAATCTTTTAAGAGTTCATACCCTTTAACTTGAAAATGCTTCTTCTTGGAGTCTATTTTCAGGAAATAATCACAAAGATTTGGATACAAAGATATTTTTAAGAATAATTAATTAGAAATAATTTAACATCAAAATAAAGGGGTACCAGCATCCTACTAAAGTTACCTTCTTTATACATATCTGCATTTTTCATTTTTTTATAGTTTTATAAAAAACACTCTTATAAAGATCTTAATCTTCAAAAAGACTACTGGAATATTCTGAATTATGGTGAGCAATTATCACCAAGCATATCTGGTGCAAATGTCAAAGAAGAAGGTATGGGCCTGGTGGTTGACTGGTCTGACTAAGTAGTTAATTATGAACATGAACGAACTGTTCACCACTCAAATCACTTCCATTTCTACATATATGATGTGTAACAAACTTACGAATAATCAGTACTATGTTATTAAGACTTAGAGAATTTTTTGTATTTATTAATAATGGGGTACAGATAGTTTTCTATACTATACTGTATATTAATTAGCTCTGGTCATTGAAATCCTGCAGGTGAAATCTTTACCTTCCCCTTTTATAGCAATGTGTAATGAAGCATGATCAGTCTGCACTGACTACAAACAAGCTCAGTTTGGCAGAACAAGTCTGTTTAGCATGGAGAAGGAAAAAAATTACATACTGTTTTTTAAAGCAACCCCAGCTGGCTAATTTAGAAAGCAATCTGGTAAACAGTCCCAATGGAACATCTGCACAAAACAAGGAGAAAACATAGAACCAACAAAACAAATGAGAAAGGGAAATTAATGGAAGACAGAGTGAAAGAAACTCTACTCGCCTAACCTTTCTTTAATCATTTAGAACTTTAAGATTCCTTTAATTCTATATAAACGTATTACCTCCAAATCTTCATTGGTAAGAATATAATAAAAAAGGACACATGCAAATTTTTATTGAGGCCCTTTCCTAAATTACTAGCTACTTGCCTGTGCAAAAGAATAATTCCTAGAATAAAGTAAGCTTCTAAAAATCCTAGACAAACATATCCGCTGGTCTTATCTACAAACATAACCTGTAGAACATAGTTTAAGTGACTAATCCCAAATGCACTTCAACATTCCCAAATAGCACATTTCTTTTCTCATTTGGAATAACTCCTCCCCTCCGTCAAATCACATCTAATTTGGGAAATGCTTAATGACACACATATCTCCCGTCTACATACAAGTTAAAAGCACACATTGGGCATCTATCCTCATTATTACTTAACTTTTTATGTGTCTATCTCCCCAACTATGTTACGGACAGCTGGGACTCAATATGTTACTTAATGTATTTTACATTCACTTACTGATCAACTATCTCCCACCACTCCCAGACAGACATAGATACATGAGGATAGGAACTTTTTAAAAAATTTACAGCTGCAGCCTCAGCACCTAGAGTCTAGCCTTACAAGAGGCATTCAACGAACATTCCTGAATGAATATTTACTGACTGAATTATAACTTGACAGATGAAAACTATATAAGCAAATGACAAATCATTAAAACTATTAGTGCTAAAATGCTACTAGTTCAAGAGTAATTTACCAATCAGATTCTTTAAACTGGTGATGTAGTTTACAATGCCTGTTCTCCTGTGTACTACTGTGAGATCTCCTCTTCCGTTTGTGATTTCCACTGTAGCTTTCATGTCCCCAGCTTTCTCTGCTATCCCAATCAGGGCAGTGAGTTCGTTTGGAATGCCGCATCTGTTATCAGAAACAAAAAGTGAGTTGAGGATATACATGGTTAGGGTTAGTAAATAAAATATAACACACTAATATTATTTATATATAAACACCCAGCACATGGAGTCATAAAGGTTCTGAAATCTTTTTCAGTAATGTTTCCCAAGGCATGGAGCTCTATACCACTGGTATGTCAGATGACTATTAAGTGACGTAGAGATCTAGTCCCAAATGACGAACACCATGAGATCTTAGTACATTTATTTCAATTTTGATTACATACAGGACAAATTCTCAGCTTGGTGCTTGTCTTCAATTGACACTTGCTAACTGCCCTTTTAAAAATAAAAATTAAAACGTAAAAGGGCCAGATAAAAAGGTCCAGGCTTAGAGCCATCAGCAGAAAATCAGTACAACAGAAGGTAACAAGAAAAAATTTAAAAAGTTATTAATTTCTAGCTAGAATATCTAATTAAATCATGTCAGTAATTAAGTTAAACAGAAAAACAGAAGGTAACAAGAAAAAATTTGAAGTTATTAACTTCTAGCTAGAATATCTAATTAAATCATGTCAGTAATTAAGTTAAACAATACTGATGTTAAAACGTGTACTGATTTAAAGATAAATAACATAACAAGTATTGTGCAACTTTGGCGAAGTGCTGTAGTACACATAACTGATGTGAGAGAAACACTTAGGAATACAAAATATGGGAGGTGACTTTTATAGGTAAAAAACCACTTATTAATGAAGCTTCTTTTTCACAAATTCTCCAGAGTTCCTTTCTCTAAATCTCAAAATGACTCCAAGCTTTGAAAATAACAGGAGGTGGATAAAACATAATATTCGACAGATAAATTGAAGGGCAATAAAAAGGTGATTTCCATGAACTCATTTTTTCTATCCAACAAACTTATATTCAGATCATCCTGCAGTTATTCTTAAAACCTATTCGTTGTAGATCTGGAGTGACTCTGAAAAAAGAAACCAACCTATCACAATGTACACTGAAGCAAGGTCACTGTGAAATCAGATTATAAAGGTGACAATTCCCTGACTCTATCTACAACCTCCAATGGGTTCTTTCTAGGCTCAGTTGCTGTGCTCAAGCAATTTAACTCCTATCTGCCTCCCCCCAACTATTTTGGAAAAGAATTAGGATAAGTCCTTAACAGTGAGGCTCAAACTCTGCTAAACAAGGTGAGTTTCAGTAGTAAAAACAGAAGAATTTTCACAATTCAGCAAGGAACTGAAAAAAGCCAAAATGGAGCAAAACCATTTAGTTAACCTCTTTCAGCTTGCCCTCAGTAACAAGTAAACAAATGGAAATAAAAATTTAAATGATTTCAAATGAGGCAGCTTCAATTCTCCTGGGAGGTATTCACTAAGAGAATGTATGCCAGAGAGTCTGATGCCACCATATATATTCAGATCTTTTCACTCACTCCTCTTGCTGATTCTAATTCTGTGACCATCAAGCATCTTGATAATGTGGCTTCTCTTTTAGCTTACTTCAAAAAAGGAAGTGATGGCACTGATGGGGACAAACAAAAAATCCTACCACTCTTGTTAGGCTAAGTGAGCATTCGGGTTTGATATAGTCAATCCAACATGGGAAAGCAGAATAAATAACTACAAATTTACTTGAAGAAAAGGCCAAAACACAAACTTTCTTCAGAAGAGCTGTAAAAAAAATTTTGTTTTTCTAGGGGAATTCTTCTGACCTGCTCCTTCAATTACCAAAAATTTTTTTAGCTACATCAGAAACTCAGCTTGGTTAAGTATTCTCAAATAATACAACATCTGCAGACTGAAAGTTATTATTATGACCATCCATTATTATGCAGTTTTTGCAAGCAGACATATGTATCGGCTTTAGTTTTGTTTTTTCCCCTTCTCCTGTCAGTCTGCCACAACCAGCTCACCTTTAACAAGGCAGAATTCTTAAATTACTAAAGTTATCAATATGCAAACATTAAAGTAAGAATACGCTCCTTGTGAGAGTCCAAGATTTTTATTTCTCCAGTTTCACTACTTGAAATTTAATTCAGCTGTTACGTTCTTTTCCCCCCTCCGATCCCCTTCCCCCAGTGTTCAGAAATATTTTCTCAGGAGGCACAGAGAAGATTCCTGCAACCACCTTCTGTGGGTAAGGTTCCTTTGCATACAAGGAAAAGAAAAACTACCTAGAATTATTACACTACCTCAAATTAATAAAGACTCCTACATGCTAGAATAAGCAGATATTTTTCAATAACAACAAACACAATAAATCTGTATGTACATATCTGTGCCAGAAATCTGATTCTCCACTGCCCTTTCAAAATATCTGAATAGATTAGAAGTTATGATTGGAGGGCTCTACGAGGACTGCATTTAATGGGTAACAAGAAGACTGAAGCCTGTGTGTGTATGGAGCACAAACATACACGTCCAGCTATAAGGCAAGAACAGGTGGGTTGCCCGTTCAGTGTGGAGGGCTGTTTCCTAAGGATGGGATAAACATATCGGGGCTACTTAAGCAACCAGAGATAATACAATGCAAAACCATCAGAAATGCAGATTCGCTGCAACAACGGTATGCTCCACCTTAGCAGGAAAAAACAGTATCGCACAAAGGACGAACCTCCCCATCTCTCAACCTCTCACAAGCACAAGCTGGATTCCACCGCCTAGATTCGCAGTGGCTCGGACGCCCAGTCCCCACCTCCCCGCCCCTGGGCATCTGGCCAGTGCCTTTGGCGCACTCAGATAGGAGCAGATGTTTGACGCTGGAAAACCTCCAAAACGCTACAAACGGCCTAGGATCCAGGGGAGGGCTTGATCTCCGACAACAGAAACATCGGGGACTGATCTCGAAGGGTCTTCCGACAGGTCCTCGCGCTCGCCGGCGGAAAAGGTGTCCTGACAGGGTTACTCCAGAGCCCACGCTCGTGGGCCAGAACTGTGGGGGAGAGCTCAGGGCCTCCGGAGCCGCGATTCGAGTAGCCAGGGCCCTCGGGGAAGGGTCAGCGGCAGAACCGCCGTGCCTAAGCAACGTCAGGCGTTCAAAGCCACCCGCTGAGCAGGGCCAGGCAGGAACCCCCGACTCAGTGCCCAGTACCCGAGGCCCCGAATCTGGTCGTTTCTCCGCCACCGGGCTTCGAGACCTAAAAGACTGGAAAGCCGCCCAGCCCAGCACGACCCACGAAAGCCTTACCTCCGCAAAAACAAATGGCCCTTTGGCCGAGAAATGTCACCCAACTGCCGTGGTCCCCCTCCAGTCGCTGCGACAAACACCCCACAAAATGGCGGCAGCACCGTCGCCCTACAACCCCCGAGGCGGCCTCTAGCACCACCTACGCTGTGCGAACGCGCCTGCGTCGCAGAGCCTCGCGCCCTCTCGTCGCCCCCTAAGGGGCGGGGCTATGTGTGACGTCAGGGCGGCACCTGTCCGTACACACTGCGGCTGCGCGGCCGAAGCTCCCCGCCCCTGGGGTCTGAGGCGGCCTCGCCCCGCCCGTCCCGCTCCCGGGCTTGAGGCGGCGGAAGTTGTTTTCCTCCTCGGAGCCCGTGGGTGCAGTCCGTGGGGAACGCCTGTGCCCTGCCCTAGGCCTGTGGTGCCTTTCTGCTCCTTAAGGTGGGGTTGCCATGAGTGCGCCACCCGTTAGCAGAGCCCGCCCGTTACCGTTTTCTGCTCTTTCTCTCGAGTGGGCCGCAGCATCGCGCTTAGGCTGCTGTCGCCTAATCCCCAGCCCCCCCACCCCCCGGACCTGAACGAAGCCAACACACAGCAGGTCCAAAAGCCGCGCTGTGCCAGGCCCCGGGGTGGTGCTTGGGGCAGTGCAGTGAGCCGGATCCACGTAGTCCAGCTAACTGGGAGCTCCCAGTCTAAAACGGATTCAGATAAACAAAGATGTCTCAGAAAACAGGCTCAGGGGTGCTTATGTTTTCAAGACATATGCTCCTAAAGATAAGAAACAGAGAAAGTTTCAATTAAGACCCCTGACAGGGTTCTTCCCGATATGAACCCTACCTCCTGGGCAGATAAGGTAGCTGGATGTTTCCCTAACGAAGTTCTCCACATTATTTATTTGCTCCTGTGGATTGATTTTTTTTTCCCCCTTTTTGTCTTTTTTCGTGACCGGTAACGGGATCACAACCCTCGGTGTCGCGCCCACACCTCGCTCAGCCAGTGAGCGGACCTGTCTCTATATGGGATCCGAACCCTCGGCGGGAGCGCCGCCTTGCTCCCAAGCGCTGCACTCTACGGAGTGTGCCACCAGCTGGCCCCAGTGTGGATTGATTTTATTCAACCGGGGCAGAGGAATGTCTCCGAGGTAGTGAGAGTCCATTAAGGGGCTTGCTTAGCTCACATAAGGTATTTTGCAGTTCTAAGAATCCCCGGACAGTTCTCTGCTGTGAGTGTGCAGTGAGAAGACAGGACCAAAGTCTGAGCCGTGGGGGACGCTCTCACAGGACAGAGGAAAAGGGCCTTGAGAAGGAATGATCGGGGGAGGAGGAGGACCAAGAAGAGTATGGTGTCAAAGCAAGGGAGGGGAAGGCTGACAGTGCTAAAAGCTGGGAAAGGTTAAGGTAAGGTGTGTAGTGAATGAAGAGTGTCGGGGAGTCTGTATTCTGACTAGGATTCACTGGATAAAAGGGAGAGCCAGAAATCAAAATTGGGAGGATAGGGTTGGACTGTTGTGGGCCCGGTAGCATGTGGGAATAAAAGCTGGGAAAGGTTAAGGTAAGGTGTGTAGTGAATGAAGAGTGTCGGGGAGTCTGTATTCTGACTAGGATTCACTGGATAAAAGGGAAAGCCAGAAATCAAAATTGGGAGGATAGGGTTGGACTGTTGTGGGCCCGGTAGCATGTGGGAAACCTGAACTCTTATAGTTCGTTAGGTAAAAGGCGGGCGTTGTAATACTTTTAGTGATCTAACATCACAGAAACTTATGCCACCTGTTTTGGATAAGTAGGATAAATTTCGATAAATCTCATGAAGATTGTGTTCCACTTCAAGAAGTAAAGTTGAAAAGGCAAATTGAATTTTCATGGAGATTTCATTCCACGTCAAGAGGTGATGAAGTGAAGTTGAAAAGACAATTGGGAAATTGGAAGAGAAAATTCTTATGTTATAGAATGAAACATACTATTCTCCTCACCTGGAATAGCCACCATTTCTGCATCTACAAATTTAAATCTTACCCACCGTTGAAGATCCATCTTCTTTAAGATGCTGTCCCTGACCACATCAGTTCCCACCCATTTCTCTGCTCTTAACTACTCTAGTTAGAGATGAGGTCCTCTAATAATGGACTAAGACACACTGGTGTGCTTGGAGCCACCCAGGTATGCCAACCAATTTTGCCCAAAAAGTGGGATTTATTGGTTCTACAACTGATTATACATACTGTGTCAGGGACACCTATCAAATGGGATGTCTAACTGAACAGACTGGAGTAGGAGAAACCTTTGCCTCTTGAGAATACAAGAGTATGATCAGGACATCCTGCAGTTCTGCTGCACAAGATTAAATAGCAGCACAAAATTAAAAAGCAGCCATGTGGAAGGGCCACCTGCAGAGGCTTTTATAGACATCACACACATTCTTACCCAATAGTGGAGTCTGCTTGGTAATTATTGCTATATTGTTTTAGTGTAATTTTGAGTATTTTATGTGTGCCACCAAAAGATCTAATAGTTGAAAATGTATAGTGATCAAAAGGAAGTTGAGAACTTGCCGTGACTAGTGTCTCTATGATATGTAGTAGAGTACTATGGTGCTCCTAATCGATCTCTGTGACACTGTGCTTTGACTTGGAGGAAAGGACCTGATTTATGTTGTCTTTGGCATCTCAGTCCCCAAAACCCAGTAAATATTTGTAGGTTGTTTACATAAGTTCCTTTTGGCCATTTTGCTCAATTGGCTTAAGTTCCAAAGTGATTAAGTCAAAGTCAGACATTTACTCCCAAGATCCCTGCTCCAGTTTAACACTCTTACGTGGCAGCCTCAACCCTCCCTGTTAAGGCAGTTATCTGGCAAATGAACATATTTGATCAGAAGACTTAACGAAAGACCAATTAAAATTTCTGAGACTCTACTACTGACACAAGAAACACTGCTTAATCCAGTAGCTTCATCTCTACACAAGAACAAGTATGTCCAAGAAAACCTTAAATTAAATCATGTGTTAAAAACAACTATATAAAGAAAATCTTAGCTTTGAAGATCAACCAAGGGAATATTCTTACCATATATTATAGGACATATATTCTACACACATAACTTCAGACATAGAAAACACTCATCTGTTTAAAAGCAGAGTCCCAGAGTAACAATCTAAATTGTTTTGTAAGTTAAGTTTAACAAAAGCTTATCTTTTACAGTAACCATTAAAAAGGTGTAAACAAACCTCTGAAGTTATAACCTCTATAAGCTGCACATTACTGATAATTACCAATCTATATTCAATTAAATTTTTTGTTGTTTTTAGCTATCAATCAAATATTAATTATATGCTAACCACTTCATATACATGATCTCATTTAATAATCTAAACAACCGTATAAGGCGATCATTGGCTACTTGTCCTGCATCAGTTAGTCAAGTGCTAGAACCAGGATTCAAACTTAGGCCTTGCTTGCTTCAAAGCTTTTGCATTTAACCCATTCTACTGATTGCTTCAATGCATGCAGCAAAGTGCAGAGCAACTTACTTTACTTAGTCATTAGAAGAAAACATGCTGAGTCCATCTTTCAGCAAGACCAAAACAGTTTGTCTTAATATACCACTTTCCTAGGTAATATGTCATCGAAGGCTTCTCATGATGAAACAATGGGTCATTTTATTTCCAGCACATCAAGGTCATTAAAGGTCCCAGTGCCTATGCCTGTTCAATGGCGAGTCACAAAGGGTCTCCCAAGCATCCCATGCTGCCCAAGACGGATAATATCCCAGGTTTTTCCAGCGTTTTCTGATGCTGATTGTGAGGAGATTCACACAGCACACTAGTAGGCAAGATTCAGTCACACCAACTAATGTTAGATGTATTCCCTGATTTGCAGCGCACTTTGTAGTGTATGTGTGAGGTGGGGAGTAGAAGGGTGCAGGGAGTGATTTTATTTAGAGGTTCTGTAGGGAATACGATAGGCTGGTCTTTCCAGTCTTGTTGGCAATTTCTACTACCGTCAATAAAAGGGTCTCAGAGCCAGGGTCACAGCTGGATGTACATTTGGATATACCTGCCACAGGGACTTCAGATCACTTCATGACATTAGTTCTGGAAACTACAGGAAATTTACCAAAAATCCTTCTAAGCCCAAAACCTATGATAAAGGAAGTAAAATGATAAGCAGACTCTCAGTAATGGATTCTTAGATTCTTAGCTGCCATGTATTAGACATATGATTCCTCCCCATTAGTATAGAAAATCAGGAATTGAACTGAGATCTTTTTTTGTCAACCACAGTCAGTAATGGATTCTTAGATTCTTAGCTGCCATGTATTAGACATATCATTCCTCCCCATTAGTATAGAAAATCAGGAATTGAACTGAGATCTTTTTTTGTCAACCACAGTTTTTGACTCAGTATGGAGTCTCTGGGTTTCAGAGCAGTTACTAAAATGTTTTACTGATTTCCTAGTGTCTGTCACATATTGCTCTACAGGTCACTGTGTTCTCACACTGATTAAAATCACGTTTAAAAATTTTTCCCAGATGTTGTGTTTTCTGTAATGAATTTACTTAGTGAATCTCAGCACTTAAAAATTATTATTAAATTATTGCTGTGGATTGAATGTCCCCCCAAAACTCACTGAAACTTGACCCAATTGTAACAGTGTAAAGGGAGTGGAAATCCAATTATGGCATTTGGAAGTTGGGGCCTTTGAGAGGTGATTGGATCTCAAGGACTGTGCCCTTGCCCCATTTAGACAGAGTGGGAGTCTGAGGCTATCACAGGCACTGCCTAAGTCCTAGTAAGGATGACATACCCCATACTAGGTTGGCTGCACATGTGGGCAACCAACCCTGAAACGGGTGTAGCTTAGTCTCCCACTCTAAGTGGGGAGCATATAAAGAACAAAGGAGCACTGTGTCAATGAGTTCTCTGTCCAAAGAGTCGCAAACTGTGCTAGGACCAGTAGAGGTTGTGGAGGAAACTTTGGCACAACCCTTACCCGTGGAGGTGGAGGCTACCCCTTTCCATGAGGGACAGGGACCTATCACAGAGCAAGCTTGGTATACAGATGGCTCTAGCATGGGACCCACAGCATTGTGGACAGCTGTTGCTGTCCAGCCTTTAACAGATACCATGTGGTAT